AATTCCTTTTACACATATGTGCATATCTATATATACCTATATGTATGCATTATGTTTGTATAATACATGCATGTATATGTATATGTGCATTCACATATATGTATTTATATTTATTAAGGCTATTTAATCCTCATTGGGAGCATAGGCATCTATGTTTTATAAATAACCAAGTGAGGACCTGAGAGGTTAAGGGCCTTGGCCAGGTTTACACAGTAAATTAGTGGCCTAGTTTAGACATCAAAATCCAGCTTCTCAGTCTGATGCTTTTATTCTAATATGATTTCCCTATTATGCTCCTTTCTGTGATCTCATGAGTTAAACTGTAATTTTCTCTAATATAAAAGATGAGATCTTATTCAGCCTTAATTTCCTACTTGTTTTGTATTCAATATATACATTCTATTGCCAAGCTTTGCACGTTTTCCTTTCATGAGCTTTTTTATCTTCCTCTTTTTTGTTAGCCCACTCTTAGTGTCTCACTCATTTAACTACATTCAAAAATCTTTATTTAGTACCAAACACATGCCAGAGGCTAACCACAAATTGTCTTAACCTTCTTGCTTATTAAACAAAACAAAATAAAATAAACCCTTTCTTCTAGAAATTTCAAGTATTGGAAACATCGGAAGTGGTTTCTTTGCCAATTTCTGCAAATTCCAATGCCATCATGAAAACATTAAGTGTTTTCTTACTGGCTGTCCTGGTGGGAGACCCGGGGCTAGAATCGTGTTCTCTAAATTTAGCCTGGCTAAATATTGACTCTGGAAGATGCTCCTTCAAAACAAAGTGCTTCACAGATGCTGTGGTTTGAATATTTGTCCTCTCGAAAATGCAGGTTGAAATTTAGTCCCCAGTGTGGCAGTATTGAGAGGTAGGGCTTTTAAGAGGTGATTGAGTCAGAAGAGCTCTGTCCTCATGAATAGATTAATCTGTTCATGGACGAATGGACTGATGGGTTATCATGGGAGTGGGACTGGTGGTTTTATTAGAAGAAGCGAGACCTGAGCTAGCACGCTGTCCCCTCATCATAAGATGCCCTGCGCCACCTCAGGATGCTGGCGAGTGTCCCCACCGGCAAGAAGGCCCTCACCAGATGTGGCCCCTTGAGCTTGGACTTCTCAGCCTCTAAAATAGTGAGAAAGAAGCTCCTTTTTTAAAAAAATAAATTACCGCCTTTCAGGTATTCTGTTATACGCAACAAAAAATGAACTAGGATAATAGACATAAATTTAGAATTGTTATATACCATAGCTCATAAGCCCATTCCAGTCTCTGTAGTACTCTTTAAGAAAATAGCTGTTTAAGTTTGCTTAATCTTCTATTTCCTAAACAAAGCATTTGATTCAATTTGTTTTAATATGTAACTTCATCAGGAAAATACTTTGGGAACATTAAAATAGATTATGACTTGAGGAATGGTGCTTTATTTTTTTTATTTCCACTGCCTAGATAGGTCTCTGGTGTGTATAAAACACTTGATATTTTTAATCTCTTTTTTTTTTGATGAATTAAGGAATATAATATGTGTTATTTATGTTTCCCTGTTTATGTTGCTGTCCTTCCTCTAACATCTTGCTCCTCGTTTCCTGTTCATACACACATCTCACCTCCAACACCAACATTCTTATTTTATAGTCCTGCTAAGTCCTCCACTTACTCTTCCAGATTTTATCATCTGTTGGGAAAAATTATTTTGTTGACTCTGATCCCCAGATGCTTTTATTCCCCATTAATCAAGCACCTCCTGGAATTCCAATTGCTTTATTTCTACCTGACTTAATCCCAAAGCCTACATAAATTCCAGCTCTTTCATAAACATCTCAGATTCAGAGCCAGGGTATCATCCCATTTCCAAATCTGCACTCTCACAGAAGTAGACCTGATACTTGTAATACTTAGCACTTTTATGTCTGTATCTACACTCAGAGCCCGTAATGTTTGGGGCCAGAGAATTATTTAATTTATTGTTATGAGAGATTGTTTTGTATATTGAGGAATGTTTAGCAGTACTCCTGTCACTAAATGCCAGTGACACACCCCCAGTTGTGATAACCAAAAATGACTCCAGAAACTGCCAGATGTCACCTGGAGAACAAAGTCTCTCTCCTCCCATCCCTGTTGAAAGCCTCTGATTTAAGGCTATATCCATATCCATATTCATAGTCATATCTGCATTTGGACTGAGAAGTAACATTGATTTATCTTGATCTACATTAGGCACCAGGTTCAATAGCATATGTTATCTGTTTTAGTTTTCATGATGATCCTCAGGGGTATTCATAGAACCAGTTTAAACATGAGGAAGACATAGCTCAGAGGGAGAAATAACTCAAAACAAAACCAACTATGGTATGCACACATTTCCCTGCACCATATTAGTTACTTGAAAACTTCTTAAGGACGGGATCCCCTCTGCTTTCACCTTGCTATCTCCCACAGGACTATTAGGTAGTAGTTGTATAATAAAAATAATAGTAAGTTGGTGAATCAAAAGCAATATTCTTAGACTTACTATATGAGCTTTAACCTCTCTCTGGGCTGCAAATTTTCTAGATTTGCCTTACCTATGAGTTGCCTACCTGTTTCTTAACCCTGATATATTTATATTAGGTATGTAAATTGAATATAATTGTATTGCTTAAGTGCATTATTTAATAATATAATTGTGTTAATCTTTCTGTCTGTCTTCAAGTTTTGGCATTGTAGTATAATGAAAAATGCATGAGCTTTCCGAATCAAAAGGATGTTAATTTTAAATTCTGACTCCATGCCTAACTGGCTCTGTGGCATTTACTTCAAAAACTAAACATTTCTGTGATCACTGCAAGGAATACAGAGATAAAAACAAAACCCCGACTATCTAGAGATTTATACTCTAGTAAGGGAAACAAAACTTGAAAAGAAATTAATTTAAATACCAAGATATAACATTAGAAGCACATGCAAAGTGCAAAGTACAGAGGTGGCACAGAGGAAGGACGATGTACCTTTATCAGGTAAAGATATGGAACACTTTCAGGACAGATTGTGCTTATGATGGGTGATAAGGAATAGACAGAGCCAGAAGATAAACCTCTTCTACTTCCTGTGTCTCAATTTCAGTATTTATAAAATAGGGATAATTATACATCTGGTGGTTATGAGTATTAAATGTGATGGGACTACAACATGTTTCACATAGTGTTGAACAGAGAGTAGACACATAATAAATATAATCTCCTTTCCATTTCCTTTAAAGGACAACAGTTACGTCATTTATAATTGTTAATAGTTAAGCTACTACAAGGCAGTAAGAGAGCTAGTGAATGACAGATTTTCATAGATTGCAAAGTTAGTATATTTCTTCTCTTGTTCAGATACTATAAGAAAATCTTCAAATTCATTCTACATTATCAACTCCCCAAGGAAGACGAGCAAGTTCTGCATTCCATCTCAAAATGTTGTAAGGCATTTTTATCAGACAAAGGCATCCTTCTCACAAGCCTTCCGCGACTTTCTTCCTGTTCTTTAAAATACACACAAACTATACAACTTGAACATTGTAACAGGTCTGCTTTCTGTTCCATTCAGTGACAGTAAGTACAAGAGCAGAATAGAAAACCCTGAAAAGTAAAATCAAATCCCAAGCGCTTTACACATCTTTCTAAGCCTCTGTGGAGGATTCTAAAGATTGACTCTTCTGTTATTCAAGCTGCTTCACCAACTGCCCTGTCAGAGCTCCAGACTCGGACCCTATTCAGGATCCTTATCCCTGAATGTCTCTTGCTATCAAGATAAGTCTTCATTTCTCTTTGTAAAGTGACAGCAGAGATCTGGGAAGGTGAAGAATCTTTTCCCACCGAGCTTCAAATAACTCACTTCTAAAGCAGTTCCATAATTCTCACTGTAGCCATGAGGTTGTGAAGTCTCATTATCTCTGACCTTGGTCTTTCTCAGCTGCCATGACCCATGAAGGAAAAAAGGTCAGTGGCTGACATTCTTTCATTCAACCAACATTTACTGAGCACTTTCCTGGTGCCAGGTATGGTGCTGGGCTGCAGGGATATGTCAAAGTTTTATTCACTAAAGATCTAATAAGATGAGGCCGGACGCTGTGGCTCATGCTTGTAATCCCAGTACTTTGGGAGGCCGAGGCGGGTGGATCACCAGGTCAGGAGTTAAAGACCGCCTGGCCAACATGGTGAAACCCAGTCTCTACTAAAAATACAAAAATCAGCTGTGCGTGGTGGCGGATGCCTGTAATCCCAGCTACTCAGGAGGCTGAGGCAGAGAATTGCTTGAACCCGGGAGGCAGAGGTTGCAGTGAGCAGAGATTGCGCCAGTGCATTACAGCCTGGGTGACACAGCAAGACACTGTCTCAAAAATAAATAAATAAATAAATAAAAAATAACAACAACAATAATAATAAGATGAATATAATCTGGCTTTATTCATTTCAGTAGCCTTATTCCCTTCTTTTTGGAAAGTGGGGTAGTGAAAATATATATTAGGCATCTTTATGACTTCAATCTTTTTTTTTTTTTTTTTTTTTTTTGAGATGGAGTCACTCTGTTGCCCAGGCTGGAGTGCAGTGGCACCGTGTCGGCTCACTGCAGCCTCCAGCTCCTGGGTTCAAGCAATTCTCCTGCCTCAGCCTCCTGAGTAACTGGGATTACAGGCACCCATCACCTAAACCCAGATAATTTTTGTATTTTCAGTAGAGACAGGGTTTCACCATGTTGGTCAGGCTAATCTCAAACTCCTGACCTCAGGTGATCCACCCACCTCGGCCTCCCAAACTGCTGGGATTACATGTGTGAGCCACCATGCCCGGCCACTACTTCAACCCTTAAGGTCACTCTGGGCTTCATAATATAGAATCCAGAGCAGCTTTATAATGTGGCTCCAATCTTCATGTGTAGGAATATCTTGAGCCAAAGTTAATCATGAGGCAATTTCTATCATTAGTGAAAGGATGTGTCTATAGTTTATTGCATTTAGCTTACCCTAGAAGCATAAACTACCCACCTGAGGAGTGAATGCACCTTGTATTTAATGATTAGTGGAGATTGTTTGCAACTGATCTTGCAAATTACACTCTTCACATCTCAAAGGGACTTTATTTTGCAAGGGTATTCAATGACTCCTGTTAGATCTGTCCTAAATACATATAAACACAAACAAGATGCTACACAGTTTATAACCATCTTTCCCCTTTACATAGCACTGAAACAGTAGTGAGTACAGTGTGGTAACTGAGGGAAATTCACCAGACTAATTGTGATAAGGGAGGATCAAGCTTAAATTTTTTCACATCTCTTTTGAATCTGTCAGCTATTCGACTTGGGAGATTCAGAAGAGTTGTAGAAAAACTTAAGCTTGGCTTGAAATGTCAGCATTTAAGGCATCAGATGTAAGGAGTTAGGGCATCTGGAGTTTGGCCAACCTATAGAACTTGGAGATACTAAAGTAATATCTAGAAAGCCAAGCACAGGGCCTAGACTCCAGGAAAGGGGTTAGCAGACTTACTATGTGCCAAGTCCACAGCAGACCAGAGTCTGAGGACCAGGGTCCTCTTTCTGTGGAGACTGGAGGGAGAACCAAGGGCCCAGACAGCAGCCAATCTAGCCCCACAATCACACCTGATAGTGGACAGATCCCTGTCGCGTCCTGGGGCTCCTGAAAGTGCCCAATTTTGCTTATAAACATGCAAAGGGAGCATCTGGTGTGCGATCTGTAGGCTGTGTCTAGATGCTGTGTTTTAGTAGGAGAAAATCACCTACTTTCTACCAGGCCAGATTCTCAGTGGTCCAGCCCTAAGTCAGGGCAGAAGCAACAGAGTACATGCTATTGCTGGGGCAGGCTAAAGCCAGCATACTTTAGCATTTTATAGATGTGACGAGAGAGGCACAGAAAGCTGTGGAGCTTTCCGAGTTCATGACACAAGGCAGAGGTCCAACCACTATTTGAAGCTTACTACCTCACTTGTTATGCAAATTTGCCTATTGTTTGTGCATACTTGTGTGCATATATTATGTGAATATACCTACTTCAGCATACAACACACATTCTTTAAATGATTCAGTGAATGAATATATGATATAAGGTAGAATTTATCCTGTTTGAATATAAAGGTATTTATTCATTCATTCAATAAAGACAGGAAAGGTACGTGCTATCATGGAGCTTACATTCTTATGAGGGGAAGAATTAATACTCAAGATTTTAAATAGTTGAACAGGACTGTTTCAAATAATATTGAGTGTTGTGAAGACATAAGATAGAATACTGAAATAAGAATTTTGCCTTTCTCTTTGTACAAAGGCAACAATGACTAAATGCAGATTAATGAAGCATGCAGGGAACTAATTCCGCCTTCTCCATGCAACAGTGCACCTACCATTTATTCCCGTTCCCCGATCATGTTTTCTGGTTTGGTGGCCACATCACGTACACTTTCTGTCATTTTCCTGAAATATATCAATAATGTTTAATTTGACAGAATCTGAACCAAACTTGTGGGGGAAGAGCAGCAGGCTGAGCTTTGGGGTCTGGGCCAAGCCTTCGTCTTCACAGAAGCAGGTTATCCAATGGCTGAACTATGAATTGTGCATAGTCAGTGTTCAGTAAAAATTCCCTTTTCTCAGCATCAAGAGAACAAGGAAAAACAGAATATTCTCCTCTTGGATATTTCCATAGCTCTTGACTGACCTTGTACCACGCACAGACTAAGTTTTGAAATACGTCAGAATTTTAAATTCAGTTATCTTTATTAACTCCTTGCCCACATCAGCTTAAGCCCAATATGTCCCAGGAATAAATTGAAGGTTGTTATGTAGAAAGTTAAAAGGACTATTGAAAGCAGAAATATGATTTCTAGAAAAGGGGATCTTTTCTACAATATTCTACTTTCTTTTCTAATGATTGAAAGGACAGAGAAATTCAACTTTTAATTCTAGCTGGAGCATCCACATTGATGAGCTACTAATCTCACTGTGCCTCAGGCTTCCTATTTGTAAATAAAGAGATGCCTGGTTGTTTTCAGGCTTTAAAGTAATTTCATGTTCATGTGCATTCGCATATATAAAATATATAGCACAGTGCTTGGCACATAGTATACACTAAATAAATTTTTTTTCTCCTCTGTAAGGAGTTCTGGCCATAATTTCAAACAAGCCACAAACTGAAACCATAAAGATGGAAATAAAGAATATAAAATTTGAAAATGTGTAAATTACTGAAAGCACAAGAACCATTAATTGTCAAGGATGGTTCTCATTAAACTAGCAGCATATGTTGCTATTATAAGGATGTTTGTCACGAGCTCCTGAGAGGTCTATTAACAATAAAATCCTATTATTCCAGATGTTTCACATCCATGTAATACACCCACAATAATTAATTTCATATGGGCTAAATTCATAAATCTAGAAAACTAGAAAGACGTGTTATTCACCACATAAGGCATCTTATATCCTATTTAAAATCTGACTGAAATGCTAAAAAATGCCATTAATTACAGGGAAACCCACTATCATTTTTCTTTATCTCTGGAATAGACTTTGAATTTGAAAATACTCCATTACCATTATAAAGGCAGCATCTGAGCAAACAAGGAGAAGAAGAAAGTTGCTGTCACATCTGCTGTTGCCGCTCAGGTCACTTCTCCTGGTTGCGTTATGGCTCAGGATTGCTGCTGCCACCCCTGGCTGGCCTTAGCTGGGCCCTGCTTTGTGCCAGAACTGTGCTAGGTGCTTCATGTGTATCATGACTTTTCTTCACAATATCCTCGTTAGATAGTCTTCCCTTTATAAAGGTAGAGGCTCAAAGAAGTGAAATAACTGATCCAACGTCACAACTCCTAAATGATAAAGCTAGGATTTGAACTCAGATCTCTAGCACCAACATCTGACCTCTCTCCATGTTACTAAGCTGCCTCTCTAAGGTAATAATAAAAGCTTTCATTTGTTGTGTGCCTGATCCAGCCTGCCAGATAACCTGAGACAGAAAAAAGAAACACACACACACACACACACACACACACACACACACACACGGGATTCTCCAATATAAAGTCCGAAGGTCAACTACTGCAACTGCCACTCAATGTCAGAATACCCTTCACAGAGGCTTGACAAATAACTAAATGGTCACCCAGAGTTCATTAAACCCTGTACCTCTTGAAGGCAGAGATTCATCTTCTTTTATATTCTAGCACCTGTTGTGCGCTCTGGTATGTAGAGTCAATGTTAATTTTTTATTTTTATTTTTATTTTTTAAGATTCTAACTTTTTGAATTTTTTCCCCTTTTACACAAAACAAATTAGAAGAAATAATAAAGGATTAAAACTGAAAAAGTTATTCTGTAGAATATGTATACCCAAAAATGTGTATACATGTAGTAGAACATGTATACATAAAAAAATCCAGATAGGAAGACAGGCTTATTTACAATGAAAGTAAGGTAAAATTAAGGTAGTTTTCTTATGAAATATTTTTTTAAAAATCAAATATATGCTATAATAGGCACCACTGTTTACAACAATATTAAAGACGAAAAAAACAACACTTATTTAATAGGCACAGATATACCACAAGGTACAACATTGGTGCAATAAATTCACAAAACCGTATTACAGCCAGTTAATCAGTTTAAGAATTGTTCCCAAGTCAGTCACATTTTTGGCTTTCATTCCTACAGATTTCATTCCTACAGATTTCAAATACTCTAAATTTCTAGCTATCGAGAAGTTAAGAATGATTATAAGAAGCTTTCCAAGGAGTTACAAAATCTTTGTAGACCAAAGGCCAACTATCATCACCTCAAGTCTGCTCTCACCAGCAGCCCTTGTATTTTTCAGGGAGAAATCTAAAGTCAGACACCAGTGTAGTCACTATCTCCCATGCCAAACCCAGGGGACTAAAATGACCAGTATTACCATAAAACGAGAATTGTGAGGTTTACCTTAAAGGGCTTATTCTGGTCTCAAAAATTAGTCAGATAAGATTATCTTCTACTGAAATGAATCTTGCCTAAACACAGAAGACTGGTATCCTTTACTGCTGGTCCTAAAGTCATAGACATGAATTTTGATCTACTGTATACTATAGCTAAAATCAGCTGAAAATCTGAAAAAAATACGCTAGAAATCCTAAATCCAATCTTTTGGAAGTCTGCTATTGAAAGGCCTTTAAGGATTTACTAACTTCAAGTCTAAGTGCAAAGGGACAAAAGCTTAAGCCTGTCGGACATTCCTTTTTTTGGACAAAAAGATCAAAGTTTCCTACAAATTGCTAAGCTTTGCACAAGTGAGAAACCTACACATACTAGTGCATGGAATCAGTTTCATTTTATTCCATGGGGATTCTTCTCCCACAGGAAAGAAACAGAATGAGGAATGAATCTTAATTGGTCTCTTCATCGCAAGTGGTAAACTTGGTCTCTATATTCACAAAGTCAGAAAGTTTTTTAAGCAGATTGTGGAAGCAGACAGTAGAACCAGCTTCCTGTAGCCACATACCACTACCTTGTATCCAGCAAGAGCAAAGATGAACTTGAACAATTATCCAGAGTCACTTGAATCGTACTAAAGGGCAAGGTTCACCACTATAAAAAAGGAAGTTGTCTAAAAGCAAGAATTCAATTAACCCTGGGTAAGAAAAATCAAAACAAGTCATACATACTAATGAGTTGTCCATGAGGCCAACTGGTAAGAATGTACTCAACTATACATGACATGAAGACACTATGCACAAAGCATAACTTGGCGAGCCTGCATTTCTATTAACTACGGGCAGAGTGAGGGAGAGCAAAGAGCTACCTCTGTAACATTTTAGTATCCAGATAGTACAGCAGAAACCATTCCCAGGGGCAATGGGTGCTCCATTAATCACACTGAATAAAGCAGATGAATTATTCATTTTTCTATTCTTTTTGTTTGAGAAGTTGGGTTAGCTCCCTTTTGGCCATTCCAGTGTACTTAGAAATGATTCCATGTTGGTTTAGTCCAGGAAGCAATAGTAAAGAAGTCACTATCAGGCAGGTGAGAAGCAAGTTGTGGACTTGCTGTCCCACCTAAGCAATCTCAGTTAGGGAAATGATCATGGTCATGAAGTGCATCTTAGGTTTATCTTCCTTTAGTGTGAAGAGGCATTTCCACCAACCCACAGCTCTGCATCATTTTTAACTAGATTGCTGCAAATTTCATGAAATTGCTGTTGTTCAGTGGTCCATTTATTGGAGCCAAAAATTCTAGGCACCAGAAGGGGAAGAAGGTAGTCAGCCAAATGGATCTAGGTAGTAGATAATCAGAAACATCAAAGAAACCACACCCATGATGGCAGGTGGAAACCAGGCTGTTTCCCATGGGAGGACTTTATCAGCATCAGCATCACTTCTCCTCATCCTTGCAGCTGTTTTTCCAGACTTGCAGTCTCTGTAGCCAGCAGGTTAGTGATGTGATTATCTCCCTCTGCCATTATCTCTGAGATGCCATCTCCATGAGTGCAGGCTGCCTTCCCAGTGAACCCTCCTACCGAGACCTGCACGGCGACCACAGCACCAGAGTCAATGTTCATCGAATGGCAATTTATCACATGACAAAAACACACGAATTTGGGCTATAGAAGAATAGTCATTCAGCAGGTGAGATTTCAAGTTTATGATGTTGAGGATTAAATGTGGGTAAATATAATATCTAGAAGAAATTATATACTGTTTTCAAACTTGAGACTAGAACCTACTGAAACAGCAATGTTATCACATAAATGTGGCAGGATGAGCCACAGACAAGAACCCCTCAGACACCAAGTTGTAGAAGGAAAAGTCTTTATTCAGCTGGGAGCATAGGCAGACTCACATCTCCAAAAACCAAGCACACCGAGTGAGCAATTCCTGTCCCTTTTAAGGGTTCACAACTCTAAGGGGGTCTGTGTGAGAGGGTCGTGATCGATTGAGCAAGCAGGGAGTACATGACTGGGGGCTGCACACATCAGTAATTAGAATGGAATAGAACAGGACAGGGGTTTTCCCAATGCTTTTCCATACAATGTCTAGAATCTATAGATAACATAACCAGTAAGGTCAGGGGTCAATCTTTAACCAGGCCCAGGGCGTGGCGCCGGGCTGTCTGCTTGTGGATTTCATTTCTGCCTTTTAGTTTTTACTTCTTCTTTCTCTGGAGGCAGAAATTGGGCATAAGACCATATAAGGGGTGGTATCCTCCCTTAAAAATAATAGCTATGTTAATAATTAACATTTATTGAGCACTAGCTGTGTGTCAATCACTATATCAAGAACTTTAAATTATAAACACAACTAATCCTCATAACAACTCTATGAGATGCATAGTACTATCTCTGAACTCAGGGAATGTAAATAGAAGAGGTCGTACAGCTAGCAAGATATAGAGCCAGGATTCAAACAAAGGCTGTCTAGCCCCAGAGCCTGCTGGCAACCACCATACTAAAC